TTTTTGTTTTCAGCTCATCAAATGATGACAGAGATTTATAATCAATTTTAAACAATACATCAAATAGACTTCCCCATCTGTCATAACAAATGTTCCATCTAAAAGAAGTTCCTGGCTCTTGTGCAATGAACATTAGAAACACAAATAGGAACTGACCCAAAATCAGCACACATCAGCACAGACACTTAAAGGTCAATGACATACAAGAGTGGACAGGTATAAATCTAAACATAAGTGCTGCATAATAAATGCTGCATAAATTAGGTCAACCAGAACTGGGAACACTTCCCATAACATTCATACTTGTTACATCGTAAGTGGAGGGGCATCTACGCTAATATTGTCTGTCTGTCCTCTGTGTCGGCGGAGACCATGACAACTAGATGAGCCATAGAGACAGATCCCCAGCAAAGATCACAAGGAACACAAAAGTTTTTTGACAGACCCTATGGCCAACTTCAAGTCTCCCCACCAAATGCTGGCATAATGTATCCCGATCTTCAGGGAGAATGAACTGGATGAAATATTCTGAAATATATCAATCCATAATCTGACTTGTGATGCAGCCTGGACTATTGACCATGTTCGTCTGGCAAAAAGAGAATATACAGTGGGTACGGAAAGTATTCAGACCCCCTTAAATTTTTCACTCTTTGTTATATTGCAGCCATTTGCTAAAATCATTTAAGTTAATTTTTTTTCCTCATTAATGTACACACAGCACCCCATATTGACAGAAAAACACAGAATTGTTGACATTTATGCAGATTTATTAAAAAAGAAAAACTGAAATAACACATGGTCCTAAGTATTCAGACCCTTTGCTCAGTATTTAGTAGAAGCACCCTTTTGAACTAATACAGCCATGAGTCTTTTTGGGAAAGAGGCAACAAGTTTTTCACACCTGGATTGTTATGTATACCAACTAGACAGTACTTAACAAGGCCACAAGAAAATAGTATCCAAAAAGAGAAATGCTGTTGGGGGGCAAAGGCGGTACTATTTTACATCCAAATATAAGGCTTGCTCAAATATATGGCTTCTCTGAAAAAGCCAACATTTTCGGTCTCCCCTCACTGTCAGATCAAGACTGCCTTTGTGACTATTGTTTTCAGTAGTTAGCATGAGGCTTTGTTAAACAAGAACATAGTAGTTTCTGTGCGACTGCGTGGTGAGGCTTTGTAAGATCTTTCATTTCCAAACTTCCATGATTATGATTCTGAAAATTACAGCTGTGAAAATCACTCCCTCACTTAAACAGGGGGCAGAAAATAAGTAGTCTGAATACATTTTGGTTTTTCAACGTGGCTCCAATGTCTCTGGTTGTTTATTAGCATAAAACATAATAGAAAAACAGATATTACTGTATCTTGTTTATTTTGTGTTGCAATCATATAAGATATGACAACAATTTATTGAATGTTAGGAGTCTGACATTTTAGTGAATGTTGCTGTTTCATGAATGATGAACATTTGTAGAACATTGTGCTAGTTAAATGTGGAAAGTGTATTGCCTTGGAGCGAGTTTGATTCGATATCAGTGGGTTTACAGATAACTAGTTATCTGACTAACACAAAATCATTTATGGTTATTATCCGGTTGAATGTGTCATTGTTATAGGAATGTTATATTTAGTTCCTTGCCAATGTTGCTCTTAGAACATTTTGTTTTGAGAATGGACATTGAGCCAAAAGTTATTTATGATTGCCAGTCCACCTATATCTGTTTTCATTACTTTTCACTTCTTGGCTATACTTCAAAAACTATAAAGCTGCCATTTCTCAAATGTGTAGAAAAATCACATATGAATCTTTAATCTCATTTAAGCTCCACTGTTTTCTGATAACTCACTCACTCATCTCCTTTTCTCTCTTCTTAATCCTGTTTCCCCCCATTTAGTTACAAAAGGAATGTTCAAATTCAAACTCCACACCCCTCTTGAACAACAGGGAGTGCTGGTTGTGCTACACCCCCTAAATTTGATGTTTCTAATCATAATTTATGTGACGTTTTCAGATTGTTGTTCTTCAGTCCCTGCTTTGTCAACATAATTCTTATCTTTCTATAAGAATATCATTTCCCCCCTTCAAAACAATTAAAAAGTAATGAATATGCTCCAGTTTGACTCATATTTGTCATAAAAATTGCTTGTTTCTTTCCAATTTTTTTATACTTGAATCACCAAAATAAATGTTAGCAGCTAGCCAGTTAAAGTTGAAATATTACAGTCCTAACAAACTTTAAACGAGTTTCCCCTCTGCTTGGTGATGTAATATTTGTTGAATTTCCTTTGAGTTGAGGATCAAAAGAGCCTATATTTTTCCTTTTACTTCCCCGACTACTACAAGATGAAAAATCAAAAGGTGAACATCAAAAAGTTACAAGTGTGAGACCCCTCAGGTATAGAATATCTGCAACTTCTGAGGTAAACAGCAAGTGACTAAGTACTTTCTGTCTGTTAGCAGAGTTGGAGTGAGTGAAGGTTGAAGAAAAAAGGAGGTCACCAAACATTGCAGATTTAGAAGCTGTTCCAGGTCTTTATGAACCACCTCCTGGCAAAGGTTGTGCTCTGGCTGAGCTTCTCTTCTAGCTTTTTCATAAACGTATTTTTACAGTTACACATTTTGAAATTACTGTTTTTTTCTGCAATCTGTCATTAAAGCTCAAGGCTCTGACAACTCTTTGGCTCTGTTCTTAAACCTAGCAAACTGCATGCCTTACTGTCTACAAAGGAAGCTACCTTTCAATAAAGCATTCAAACTGAAATGGAACTGCATAAGTGACTAATTAGGAATGCTTTACATGCCAGGGACTTGTTTAATGATCACACGTGATCTTCAAAAGAACCACAAGTAAGACTCCAACACTTATAGTTGTTTCCTGTAGTTTGCCAACAGCGGATGTTGCTAAACTAACAACACAATATGCTATTAAACACAAAATAATGCATATCGCACTCAAATATGCAAATAATGCATATCACACTCAAACTCTTTCTCACTTTCTCAGTATACAAGTTAAAGATTCAAAAGCTAAATTATATTTACTGTTGTTTGCCATCAGATGTTTCTGTCCAAATATACAAATTCAGAGCTCTTGAGAAGTTTTCAGAACTAAACCTTTCCATTTCATGTCGAACTGATAACTAATTTAGCTCATTCTGGGCATGTGCCTCTGTATTTCAGTTGTTGTATGTGAGAGAATGGCCTGTGTGCTCTTGAAAAGAGAACTTGCTATGCGCTCATGCATTAATCCACATTCCTCACACACTACAAGTTCAAAGTACACACTTTCTCTGCTGATCATGTTCTGAACAGGCCAGGGATTTGAGGGAGTCTTGAAAGGTTGAAGGCGCAAAGGCATTTCTGAAACCCCCCAAATCGGACACCTCCTCATTCTAGACACAGAAACCAAACATTCCCTTTCACTCAATAGTGTTCAAGGCATAAAAAGGTAGGGGGTCAGAGCTGTTTTGAGAAATCTAAATTAATCTGTCTTGCTTTTTTAATTCCTTTAAAACGTTTTATTTGTCTGCAGGAACACTGGGCTCCCTCCAATTTCTAAGACTCACTTACCTAACATTATCTGACATTTTTGAGCAGGCATTGTAATAGCACTTCATCAGATGAGAATGTACTGTAAGTGTGAAATGTTGAGGGCTTTTGTTAACAAGTGTTTGTGTGATTTACTGTACTAAGGAAGAGGATTATTAGTATATCTAAAATATCATATAAGGAATTTACACAAATAGAAATCTCATAGTAATAAGACCAACACAGGACCCACTAATGGTTATCAATTCACAAATATATTTCACTGTGAAATAATCACAGATAATTACAAAAAGTGGCACCACCAAAACCCCTAGAAGGCAAACGAAAGGGGGGTTCTGTTCTCCGACCCTGATGTTAACCTCTGCAAAAATGCACATTCAAGAATTTGAGTTTATGTTTTAAAATATATGTGGACCACGGAATAAGTTCCCTGTTATTACTGTCAGAGGAAAATGCGTTTTATCCCATTCACTGCAATAAAGCTTGCATTCTCCTCTAGGGCCAACAATAACTGTTAACTTTTTGTGCAATGAGCCAGAGGCCGAGTGTGCAGTGGCACGATGACTTGGAAAGTGAACAGGGACACATTTTTGAGGAAACACACTGTTAAGACTTGGGATCTCAGAATGGACTAAAATACAAAATGACAGTAAATGTTAAGTGCATTGACTGTATTTCCTACAAAAATAATAATAATAATAATAAAATGAGTAAAGAGACATGCTGTGCTGTCATGAGGGATTATTTGTAAAAAGGATTTAATGACCCACTGCACTACCTATTCACAATGCAAAATAAAGGAGCCAAAGAGACTAACATAAAATCAAATTTACACTGGAAACCAGTGTCAAGCGCACCTTCCATCCAGTGGAATTAACAATAAGTAGTGTGAGAGGGTAAGTTTACACAGAGGATCTAAATTCTTTCCAAAGAAGCCGAGTGAAAGAGTTTGAGCCTGAGTGATTGTGGCCTGGGAATTGAGTCAGTCAGACGTGTAGCGCTACTGTAAAACAAGACGTGATTGTAATAGCTACCACACTACACTGCCATGCCCTTATGCTGCTGCTAATGATTCCAATGCCTCAGTCGAGCGGTTGCAACTGTGCACGTGTTGACATACTGAAGCATTAGCCAAGACTTCTCCCTTCGGGTATAATGAGCTTGTCAATATCATACACAACACTGAGTACTTTTAGTGCTGTTCAACTTTACACACCCAATGCGATCTCATCGAACAAGAACCAATAAAGATACGAAATACCAAACAGATTCCTTGTTGAACATGTAATATTTACAGTGAAACATCTTTACAGTGAGCAGAATCTACAAGCAGGTCAGAGGTGGCTGGTGAATGTTAAAGGGATAGTTCATCAAAAAGCTAAAAATGTGGTGATCATTTACTCACCCTCATGACATTTCAGTCTATTATTTTCTTTCTTCTGCGGAACACAAATTAATGTATTTGAAGAATGTTTCTGTTGTACGTTTTTGTCCAAACAATGAAAGTTCAAAACTTTTAACCTCCTTTACATCATGACACATGCACCAATAAGGTTTGATGTTTTTGGCACATCACCATATTTGATTTGGGCTTTGTACAAGTTTATCAATGATTTGATGTGATTTGTAAATGAAAACCCTGTACATTTTTTGGCTTGTTCATTGTTCTAAGTGAACATATTGCTTCAGAAAATGAATTAAATGACTCTGAGTTATGGATATGGATTACTTGTAGGGTTGGATTACATTTTTACACTACCTTTATTTCCATTTTAGAGCTTGAAAGTGCATTTAATTCACTGTATGAACAAAAACAGCTGAAACCCCATATCTTTGAGTTTGAGAGTAAGTAAATAATGTCAGAAATTTCATTTTTGGGTGAGCTATCTCTTTAACAGTGAGAGTCACACATTCACACAGCAGCGGTCATCATTCACTGTGAAAACGATTGCAAAAACTGTACCTTACTGATACAACAGCATGTCACCAAGACCTTATCTACCCCTAAAAAGTGTATATTAATACCTTAGAATAATAACATGCACTCTTAAGGTACCTTTGACTAATAGGGGTAAACAAGGTACAAAGATGTCGCTTTGAGGGTACTGCCCCAGTGACAAGATATTGTAACCCTACCATTTTTTGACACACTGGTTTTACTCCACTATTAAAGCACATAAACCATAGATTCTTTATACAAAAAGTGCACATGATAAAACCAAAATAATTTTTTTTGGAATCCTTCGGTGATAAAGAATACCAGCACGAAGCCGCTCCTCGTCGCAGCGTATAATACAAGCAGTCTTCTCCTTAAGTCTCTAATTCAAGTAAAGTGCTTCTAGAGCAACAACCATATGGTTAGAGCTTTCAAGTGTTCTCTTTTGAGTTCTTGTTTGCAGTACCTCCTTTAGAAGGGTTGAAATAAAACACAAGTCCCACGGAGGAAAGCAAATTCTTAAGCCATCACACAAACTCTAGCTTGCCTTGGCCACTGTGCTTTCCCCAGCTGACCAATGAAAGAAGTCTTTGGCTGGTAAGGTCGGACTGCTGAATCTTGTCGCAGGTCAGGCAGCAGTTCTCATGGCCTCCTACTGGAACCATACACTCTAAGTCCAGTTTGGCCACATGACCCTTGGTGAGGTGTTGGCCATGAAAGCTGTAATGAAGGCGAGACAACATTTCTCTCCGTTGTTGTCGCAGTCTGCGGTTTTCACTGCGCAGCATACGCAGGGCCAGCACGATGAGGAGGACCAAGATGAGGCCACCGGCAATGGGTACAGTGATGACCGCAGCGCGGAACCATACCTCCTTGGAGGTAGGAATTTCCTGTAGTCGTGCAATCACGTGACGGCTACCTTCGGTTTGATGTCGCCGTTTGTCTGAATAAGAACAGAGAATGTTTAGGGCCATGTTTTTATGAAGCAATTGAAGAAAAACATTGACATACACGATATTCTATGTAGATATTTTTAAGGATATTTTTAACTGTTTTTGTCAATTCAATAAAAGTCAGTGGGGTCCAAAACAACATTGTACAAAAACGATTTTTCTAAAATAGTCATACAGATTTTTTTAACAACTACTCATTTAAATGAAATGTACTCTGTTTCACAACCATCAACCAATCACAGCGGGGAAGTTGTTTCTAAATATTGCAAATTTGATGATTAAGCTCCATTTCAGATCTTTCCTCCCCATGTGCACATTATTAAAGACCAGCATGGCTGATCAATCGCTAAAACAGCAGTTGAAATGCAACCGATATTCTCAAAATTATCTTCTCAACTTCTTTTTTTTTTTTCTTTTCCTTTAACATTTCTTAAACAATGTTTCCTTTCACATCATGTGCAAGGAAACAATGCACATATATCTCAAAATTTCCCAAAATATTTGAAAATAAAAGCTGTGAATTACTCATTGACAAGACTGTTTGTAGATCATGACAAATTGATAAACTGGTAGATTTAGAATGGTAGAATTCAATAGGTACTTCTATTAACTGGCCAAGTGGGCACAGTTAATGACTGAAATCAAAAATTGTCTGATTTATCTGTCTATCACTAGCAATAACTAAAGAATGCTTCTTCTCATACCATGAATTTCACTTCCTCTGTATGTGACATCTTGCAGGCCTCTGTAATTGCACATATCCTCATGGCAACACTGAAGTGTGGCAGATCCGTGAATGGTGTCATAGGTTGACTCTGGGTGGCAAGTTTTTCCAGAGTTCAACAGAGGGTCGTAACATCCATGAGATAAAGGAGACTTGGCACTTTGAGGGTCTAAGGTCCGGGTGAAGCAGGCATTCAGCTCCGATTTGCACATGTAACCAGTGGCCACACAGTGGGGGGCATCGCAGTAGCACCGTATTTCTCCTGTTACAAGAAAAGAGAAATTACTGTATTAAAAGAATGAACTTCACTCCAACTGAACACTTAAAATAACTTAAAAATAGATATTCATTTTCCAACTTAAACCATGTTTAAAGCCTAGTTCCCAAATGGATTTTCTTAAAACAAATAAATAAAATGGAATTTGGCTTTAAGACTTTTGGTTCTTAATACTTTGACAGAACAATACAACATTTAGTACTGATAGCTGTACTTAAACACACCCAGCAATGCAAAACAAAAGTGCTAATACGTGATAACAAATAATTAGGTGTTCAAAAAACCTTTGGTCACACTATACATTAGCGTTCGTGTTACATTGTTATTACTGTGTAATAATAATATGTAATTATTAATACGCTGTAGCTGTAAATACACTTCGTTGGCTTTATTACAAATGTAATTAATTGTAGTTCCACTAAATCATTAACTGATCAATCTGGAGACTCTTCTGACCATATAAACAGTATTAATCACCTTTAGTGAGGAGAACAGCCATCGCGCACAGCTCGAGCTGAAGCCAAATGGAAACGAGACTGCTGTTCCGCTGCATTGGACAAAAACACTTTCTTTGCCTTTCAGATTCGCATCGATACGGACTTTATAGCCAGAAACACTGTATTGGTGTTCACGATGTGTTCCAACTTGCTTCGTTAACTTTTCGTAACATTTTGGGATAGAAATGATCACATCGTGGTTTAGTCCTCGCTGCTCTTCAAGACTTCCAGATAAAATCAGCTGAGCGCAGAAAAGCCGACGTGGAGTTGTTAGAATACAATTTAAAAACCCAGGTTAGACACAATCTGTTTGTGTTTTAAGTCGAACCCGAGATTCACAGACTTCGCAACTATTCAAAAGGATAATCTCCTGTATATAGTCCGCTTGAGTGCTCTTGAATGTTGAAGACTTGAGAATGAGAGCAGCTCCTCCTATAAGAGTCATCGAGCCGCTGGGACTGTTCATTCACAGGCGTGTGAGTTGTGACTGTTGCCTCCCCATGTGCCCATGCACAGCTAATACAGTTTAACCCTCGTTCTGCAGAAAAAAAGCATGGCTTGACTTGTAACTTACAGTGACCCCTGTATGTAAAAATACCAATTGCAAATGGCTTAATACAGGTGCATCTCAATAAATTAGAATGTCGTGGAAAAGTTCATTTATTTCATCCTTCCACTCAACTTTCTGTTAACATGCTTGGATACAGCACTCTGTGAACAGCCAGCTTCTTTGGCAATGAATGTTTGTGGCTTACCCTCCTTGTGAAGGGTGTCAATGATTGTCTTCTGGACAACTGTCAGATCAGCAGTCTTCCCCATGATTGTGTAGCCTAGTGAACCAAACTGAGAGACCATTTTGAAGGCTCAGGAAACCTTTACAGGTGTTTTGAGTTGATTAGCAGATTGGCATGTCACCATATTCTAATTTGTTGAGATAGTGAATTGGTGGGTTTTTGTTAAATGTGAGCCAAAATCATCACAATTAAAAGAACCAGACTTAAACTACTTCAGTCTGTGTGCACTGAATTTATTTAATACGTTTCACAATTTGAGTTGAATTACTGAAATAAATGAACTTTTCCACAACATTCTAATTTATTGAGATGCACCTGTATATTCTTATTTTCTCTTTATCTAATCGAAACCAAATGAGCAAGTTCATGAATTACTTCTAACCAGTATTAAGATATTATGTTAATTTATATTTGCAGGTTGATTTATGTTTTCCAGAAGACAAAATACAATTTAACCCAGATATCCTTTACAAAAATCTCTTAATGCTTCTGTTACCTTCTTGAATGTAACAGCAAAAGTTGCACCTTTTTCATCAGTCCATCAGTCCATCAGCTGTCTTCAGAATAAAAAAAGTTGGTAACACTTTATTTCGATAGTCCACTTTAGACATCCTATTAACAGTCAGTAACTTTGCAACTACATGTCAACTAACAGTTAGTAGAGTATTAGTAGACTGTCTGCTTAATATTGTCTAACACTTTGTCAACTTATTCTACTAACCCTAAACCTTCCCTAACAGTCTACTCTGAGAGTTAGTAAACATGTAGTTGCAAATGAATGAGAATTAGTTGACATGTAGTTACAAAGTTACTTATAGTTAATAGAATGTCTAAAGTGGACTATCGAAATAAAGTGTAACCAAAAAGTTAAATCTCAAAATCATGAAGTTGCTGTTGGAAGGGTTCAAATATGCAGATGATATTGTAAACCCAGTACCTGGAGGATTGTTCTTGAGAACAGTGAGCAGTTTAACTGCTCAGGACAAACAAGAGACCCATGAACAATTATCACAAAACATAAAAAAAACCAACACATTAAGAATCACTTATTATAAATATTATAACATAATATTTTGAATAGGTCATTTATAATAATTATTTTAAATTCAGCTTTAATTTTGCAAGCATCCATTGTGTGAAACTGCTTACTCGGTGCCATACTAAAATGCAATTTTTTAACCTTGTTAAAATTAACATTTTGCAACTATATAAACTTGTGGCCACAACTGTATGTATATAATACATCTAACATAACTACTTACAAAACAGGTAAGTAGATTGATATTATTAAGATATCTTCCCAAGTGCACCTGAAACATTCCACAGTAAAGCTAACAAGGAAAAACATTCAAGCATGTGTTCCGAGTTCTTTTCGTTCATGATTGCATGCCGTCGTCTTAAACCAAGCGATACACAAAAGCAAACGTACCAAAACATAATGTGGTAATTGTTTATTTCCCGTAGCTTTTAGAAACCATATACAAAGCAACATAACCATCTCTATTCTGAAAGTGTACTCCATTTACAGCCTATCACGTTAAAATTGGTCTAAGTTCAAACACTGCATCAGAGGGCAGTGAAGACAGAAAGAACAATGGAGCAAAACTATGAATGACATTGCAAACATCAAAGAGGAATCACCAGTTTAGCCTTTTTTCACATCCTTGTCAAATACAAACTGACAAGTTGACTAAATGCTTAGTTTTTTTTTCTTCTTTCCTATAGACTGGTTGATATTTTATGTAAAAAATTAGGAAAAACTTGATCTGATCCTGTACGCCTCCATACTCTTCCCCCAGTAGGTCGGCTTGGACAGTCCACGTGGTCCTCTTTTGTCCATGAAGGATGCATTTTTGATGTGCAGCCACAGCTGTATAAAATATGGAGTTCTCTCATTGCATCCTCCTAATTCGGGCAATATGGGAATGACTAAACTCAATTCTATGAGTAAAGAACAACTGAGCAAATACAAACGAATCAAAGCAACATTAATAATAAAAAATAAAAAAAAGTGTCAAACAGTGCTGGGGTGCAGCACGAAAAGTAATCTGTTAGATGTGTAACAGCACTGCAAAGAACAAGGAACATCGAAGGCAGAAAGTGACAACCCCTATATCAGGGTCAGAAACGTAGAAAATGTGCATCTACTGCTTCGGCAAAAGCTTTTAAGTGCCACGTCACCAATTCAGACATTTTTAGCACCCATTCGTTTTGCTGCAGTGAATTAAGCTCACTTTTGCGTCCTATGTAATCTTTCTGAGGGGTAGAGAATCAGCCAGTCAGGCCTAATTTTTGAGACGAGCACTCAGAAGTATATTGGGCTTATTTTAGTTGGTCACTTTGAGAAATGCCAGTGCAGCTGGAAGCGTCCTTGTGCACAGATAGCCCTTCTGACATCATTCATAATCACTGTCAGTCACTGGAGGATAAGGGGATATTAGGTCTCCAGTGTGACAGTGAACTTTATGATCCGTTAACACAGGCGTAACCCTGAAAAACCAGCACATGAATCACCAGATCCACTGCATGATTACTCAAAGGTTAGTCTGAGTTGGAGAGCGCTCTCTGAATATCTCTCTCTAATGGCCTGTGGATCTGAGAATAGAGAAGCGATGTACATCAAAGGACTGTGAAATTAATCTACGATCTCAGGGCCTTGTGTTGCCTTGATAAGCACTTTTGGAAGCTTCCTTTCTCTCTGTCCCATTTCAGGCATTGCAGCCTGCAGTTCGACTGCGAATCTGAGAGCTCGGGCTGAGAGCAGGGGTCCAAACAACCAGGGGCTGGACATGTTTGGAGAGAGACTGCCATGAGCTCCACAGCCATCTCTCAAACCATGAAGGAATTCTGATTTTTCAGTTTGTCAAGTTCTTTGATCTGCTGTCTCAGAAACAGAATCCTGTGTGAAAAGAGGAAAAAGGATTCATAAAAAGTCATTTCATTATGTATATTTGATCATTCTATTCAAATCAGGGTTACAGACCTTTGCTCTCTCAATGTGGCCTGGATTTCACATACTCGCACTAAAGAGCGAAGGTTCTTAAGTTCGGTGCAGATCTCTGACATGTAGAGGGTTCCCATGTTGTGGATATCCTCACTTAACCGTGACACCTGGGTGACAGGAATTTAAGATGAAGAGGAAGAGAAATTCAATAGCTGGAGAACTGATATCTGATCTTTAGGGGCCAGTTGTTATCTGGATCAGAATGATCTGGATTTGGAAATCTCAGGTTTTGCTATCCAGGATCAGGTAATCCATCTTTTCTGCTGGATTTTAAAAGCAAAATTGAATTGACCACAATGATCCAGATACACACTTTTTCATATTACCAAATCTGGATTACTAGTGCTCTACGAAGCCCCTAAAGGGACATGATGTAGTAAATAAATAAATTAATAATAATATCTATCTATCTATCTGTGTCTCTGTGTGTGTGTGTGTGTGTGTGTGTGTGTTCTAGGGGTTGTACCGACTAATCGACTTCAATGCTCTGCCATGATGCTTTAAGCCTGGCGTCAACTAGTTGCTGGTCCTATAGAGGGTGCAACAGGATAAGAAATCTTTGAAGGACTTCCACATTTACGCTCCGTTTCCAAACAGTTAAAATGATAAATAAATGCATACTCTGAAAGCGCTCCACAAGACATGTGAGATTATATTACTGGATGCTCGAAGTAGAACAGGATAATACACGTTTTAAACCGCTTATTGTACAGGTAAGTTAATCGCCGTTCTAATCTAATGCACTGCTGCACCCTAACGCACACATATTACAGACAGTAGCTCGTACATCACGCTCAGATCTTGAGCACACAGAATCATTCAGTGCGGAAATGTATTGTCAACACTGTTCTGTGATTTCAATAAAAATAGCTTAGAAACTGAAACGTTCAAGCATATATTTCTTAACTAAATCTCACAGCTTCACTACTAGTAGAGAGATGCTACCAGGTAGAATTAATTCACACACGCAATCGCTCTCAATGCATTCATATGAATGTCATCTTTACTGTGCTATTTTATCTGTAAAATGTCAGTAATCACAGTAAAATGTATCTTTATCTGTATCTGATTTAGAACGAGCAGAAATCTGTGAGAAATATAATGACCTAAAGACAAAAGAACTGATCAAAATGAGCTGTTATAGGAGCAACAGCCATGTGGGCAGCGCTGTGTCATATGCCATAGCTGTGCACAAGGTGTTTGTCACAGCTCCAGACTTATTTGTTCATTAATGACGTCATCAGCGACAAGTTGACTTCGACTCTAAAATAAAATCAGAAGTCGTTCAAACCCTAGTGTGTTCTCTCAGAAAAGTTTTGCATTTGTGACCCTGGACCACAAAACCAGTCATAAGGGTACATTTTTGGAAACTGAATAAATAAGCTTTCCATTGATGTATGCAGGGGTTAAAGCAAAAAAAAATCCTGAGTCTGAACTTTTTTCCGGGGGTTGGGGGGTGGACACTTTTCAAAACTACAGGTAAATTTGTTCTGCCAATCATATCGTTCTTATGGAGATGACGTGATTACTCTGAGCTGTTTACGAAGCTCCGCTGCTTTTAATAGCTTTTCTATGTAAATATGACACTAGATGGAAATCTTT